AAACAGGTCAAACTTCTTTTGTAGAAAATATTGTTTTTGGTTTTTAGGAATAACATATATTTATTATATTATTTATTTACATGTCATGGTTTAAATAACACATTTTTATTTCTTTAAGTTATATTTTTATTTAAAATAAAATTTCTTACATTTAGCTAATACAATTACAAAAAACTAATATCTGAAATCTTGCTTGCTTTCCAGTCGAGGATGCTTTTTACGAGATTGTAGTGTTGCAGTCATAACTCCATCGCGATTTCGCTCTAATACGCGTTTTGATACGTTAGCCAGTAATTGAACATGTCTCTCAGTTCCCTGAATGTGGACGGGAATTTTAGGGTCACTCCATGGGCACTCATTGCTTTGTAGATATTGTACTAGATGTTCATGAGGTATATTTAGCGTGAAGGCTGGTTCGAATATATTGAATAATCGTCCATATCTATCATATTAGTATAGTCGGTGCATTCGAAATTTATTTCGGGTGTTTTGTAATCTCTCAATTGCGTCAGGTCTTCCACATTATTACGGTAATATAAGATTTTTCTTATAGCTGAATCTCGTATTTCCTTTTTATTATCGAACAACATTGCTAATAAAATATTTTCCGAGTGAGCATAGTACGCGTTTTCTTTAGCAACATTGTTCACAATTTGTCTTAAATTCGAGTCTAAATATTGCGTCCAGCTAATAAATTTATAAAATAATATACTACCGTACACCACAGAGTTGTAATATTTAATGTTAAAGTACATTGGAATATATACTTTCATCACGTAGTTTGCCAGAATTTTCAAATTTTTGGATGGCTTATTAGTAGTTACATATAACCGAAGTAACCTACTAGCCTTTGTGAGCCATCGGGAATGTGCTATTGGCCCCGGTTTCTTGTTAGCTAAGTCTGTCGATACTTCTCCAGAAGCAACTGCTTTAGCTATTTTTATTAAATAACTTGAGTCAGTTGTCGATTCAACAGGACTTAAATCAGCCAAATTTTCAAGTGGGATCGTTTCAAAGTCTGTTACCGGCTGGAAGTAAATAAGAAAAAATAAATTATATTGAATTTGAACATAAAGTATTAACAAATAGTAAATATGTTATAACTCACCGGTATATTTTCGCATGTTTCAATTTGTTTGCTTAATATTCCGGTTTTTGTTCGTGGTCCAGTGGTCAATGATTTTTCCAAATAGTTAAATAAATGCCGAAGTGGAAGTTCGTTAAAGTGGAGAAGACACACAAACCAATGAAGAGGCCTATTTAACTGAATTTCAAATCGACGTAAAATCCCATTTTTTACGCCTGTATTTGCTGGTTCACCATCGCAACATATGCCTATCAAAGAATCGAGAGCTATTCCTTTATCGGCGAAAAACTCGTTCAATTTGATTACTTTACTTTCCGAATCTTCATTTTCCAATTTGTGTAACCCAACAATTGGCAATTCGGTTCCTTTAAAATAACTAAATGCGCTTCTTTAATCATTCGTGGGTGAAACTTCTTATCGATTTTTTCCATGGTAATAGAATCATTTTTTCGGCCGTCGAATGAAAATGCTATTAATTCAGAAGAATCATATCGTTTGAGTAGAGCTTGCCTATTTTTCTGCCTCTCACGAACGCTTTTATTTTTATCCATAATGACAGGATTGCCCCAATCATCCTTTATGTCCAGGTCTTTCAGGATTGCTGTCACCACGGCAGAACCAACTCTATCAGAGATTGCAAATCTGTCGCATATTAAGGCATAGTTTGGAGCTTTGTATCTTCGACTATATGGTCCACGTTTTATATGAGAAGTATTTTGTGAACTTTTCAAACTGCTTTTAAACTCAAACCAACATCAGGAGTATATGTCTCACCTGGAGTAATATCGCTAGTTATTGTAGATGCTGATACTTTATCTTCAATTTTTATAATATATTCTGGTATCGTAGATTTCCTCTCATTATGTTGATCCATCATAAACGCTTGTAAGTGTGCTGGGATCAGTCCGCAGGAACACAGTATTCTTCGCAAATCGCATTTGCATTTTCCAATATAAAATAATTCTTTCGTGGATTCTACAAACTCCTGAAATGATGCTTGGGTAGACTTGCTTTTATTTGTACTTTTATATTTATCAATCAATCGGTTCAATTTTCTAGCGATACTTCGTTTCTCCATAATTGGAATATCAATTTTTTCCCACGTCTGAATCAATTTCGTTACCACATTTGGAGTAAATGTTTTATATGAAAACATTTTATTTTGTTTTTTTGATTCTTCGGCCAAATAAAAATAATACCTGATAATTTCCATACTTGTCGGAAGATTTACTCCAGTAAATTCTCCTGCTTCCCCAAATGTAATTTGATCATGCGAGCGCATATGATTCAAATTACTGGCACTTGCGCCTGAATTTAAATAAGAATTCGCCATTGATACTTCACGTCTAACTGGAGAACTGAATGAAGATTAATGCGAGTTTTTCACATTAATATATTCTTTTCGAAACTTCGAGAATTATAATAAAAAAATACTAGCGCACTCTGATGGAAATAAATAACAACAAACTAAACCCGATTTAAAAACCCCCGTACAAACTATCAATTAAAATATAACTCACAATTTGAATTATTCACATGCCTAAATTAATATATTAACTTATTAAAAACAGTATTTTATTGAAAATTTCGCTGGCTAAAGAGTTATTTGCGATATATGGTTTTGAAGTTAAAATTCATTTAAATCACATATATTTCATATGAAAAGGTGCCCATATCGCTTAATTTTACTACAATAATGATTCGGCCCAACCTAATATATATATATATATATATATATATATACTTCATCAAAAAATAGATAATTGAGATGATTTTTTTTTAAATATTCTAAGGTTTTTTAGCTTTCATAATATCAAAATCTCATAACACGAAACAAAAAAAAAATAAAAACCAAACTCGTTTTTTTTGTCTATCGTTAAAACACATTGTCTATCTCCTTTCAACGTTTTGGTTAAAAAAGGCTAGCGTTATTGTAGCGAAGCGTAACAAACTCAGCTCATTCGCATTGGCCAGCGAACTTGGCCACTTGGCCAGTCACTCGAAATGGCAAAATCATTGATCACTAGTGGCCTGTACTAGTGGCCCAGTGCAAACTCACATTGATATTATCCGAAGAATGATACAGGCCGACATTTCTCTAAATCTCATTTCACAAAAATTCTTGCAAACAATGAACAATTCAGCGCCGTTGGTTAATTTACTCCGTTTCTAAGGATCGAGTTTATTGTTTTTGTTGTAGACTATTTGATAGTAGCTCAACGTCGAATTTAGTATCTGAAGGGTATAACAACTGGAAATACTTGACTGAAATATTAAAAAATCATGAAAATAGCACTTTTCATAAGAAGTTTTACCTTTCATGCATTGAAGCTGAACTACGATTAAAAATAGGAAAAACAATAGACTGCCAAGAGCAACACTTGATTAGAAAGGAAACTACAAGATGGAATAATGTTTTGTCTAGATTTATGCATATTACACTTTATTTAGCCGAAAACAATATGGCGTTCAGAGGCACTTCTGACTAACTATATACGCCAAATAATGAAAAGTTCTTAGGCTTAGTACAACTACTAGCCAAATTTGATCTAGTCATGCAGGAGCACTTGCGATTAGCTATGAAGGGTGATATTTCAGACCACTCAGCTTCTGTTCATCGATGGAAAATTCTAACCCATCACTTGGGACTATATACTATAAAAAAGCACAGTGACACTCATTGGGAAGCAAGAATAAGTAGTGTTAAAGCAGTCCGTTATCAAGTTAGTACTATCCATGATGCTTTGATTACTTTGGCTCTTAAAACTCAGAAAACTGATGTTCAAATGTTTCATGAGGCTACTACTTTAGCCGAACAACTAAAAGATTTCAGCTTCATAGTTTCATTGGTTGCTTGGTATGACATACTTAATCAAATAAATGTTGTAAGTAAATCTCTACAGTCAACAGATATGGATCTTGGTAAATGTACACAAATGTTGAAAAAATGCTGAAATTTTTTGGAAGACTACAGAAATACGGGCTTTAAAAGCGCTATTTTAACTGCGAAGGGATTGGCCGAAGAAATAGAAATTAAATCTGAATTTTGAGCTACAACAAGAATTCGACGTATTATGCGTCAAGCTGGTGAAATTGCACGCAATGACCATATAACTTCTCCAAAAAATGAGGTTGAATTTTTCATCTGTCTTTTGGACACTATATTAATTTCAATCAATGACTCTAAATCAGACATACATGGTTGTATGTTGTGTGATAAACTTATAAGTCTGGCATCCTTTTTACCTAATAAAAATGTGGTTACTCCAATTTTTGTTTTAAATTTCATCAACGATTTCAACTTACAAGAACTGTATCCCAATGTATGGATATCATTGCGAATTTTATTAACTATACCTGTAACGGTTGCTAGTGGGGAGCGGAGCTTTTCGAAGCTGAAGCTGATAAAAACCTATCTTTGATCAGCGATTTCTCAATCTAGATTGACAAACTTAGCAACTTTGTCAATTGAAAACGAAATTGCTGAAAAAATCGACTTCGACAACCTTATAAAAGAGTTCGCTGATAGAAAGGCCAGAAAAGTAAAATTCTATTAGTGTTTATGTAATAAATGGTTATCTTTTATAATAAATATTTCTTTTTAAATAACGGTTATTTCATTATATGTTTTTCTTTTTTCCAAATGGGTTTAAATTGCAGGTGGAGGGCGCCGTAGAAATCTCGCCCAGGGCGCTGGTAGTGTTAAAGCCGGCCCTGTGTATATATATATATATATATATATATATATATATAAATTTATTTTCATTGGTCTATTAGGATTCAAAGAAAGATTTCATTTCATTTAATATTCACATTTAATATAAAGATAAATTATGACAGATTTATTTTTAAAATAAATATATTAAAATATGTTCTATAAATAAAAGTTACTTCTCCTCCGTGTTGGAGTTCTTGTTGTTGTAGGAGCATCTATGTTTCAAGTTTCTTTGCCGGACATTATAAGTTTTTCAGGATTTCTAGAAAATATTTGAAAAATTAAAAAAAAAATCATATTAATGAAACAAATTATTAGCAATAGACACTGGTTTCATAACAAACTTATTGAAAGTTTTGACAAACAATATTAAAATAAAAATTATGATTAGTGTCTACGGGCATAACACATACATACAAATATTGATGAAACCTATTAGACACAAAACACACTTTTAATTCCTCATCAATTCAGATGATCCAAATTTCATATTATTTGTAGAGTCAATTTTTATAAAAACGATTCCAGACATTACATTATTCTTACAATTTTTTATCTCACAAATTTATGAAACAAGACTGACTTTTATATTTATATAGAATTACATATGATAAACAGGTGTAAGAGTAAAATATAAAATAGTTTACCAGTGCAGTCCTTTTTTATTAACATAATACTCGTACAATACTCCTGTGTTTTGTGAATTTGGCGACAAAATTTCTTCTATAACACTTTCTTGAATTAACTGAAAAAAACAGAAATTCTTGAATTTATTTCAATTTATTATTTTTTTTACAAAATATTTTCGATACAGTTATGAAATGTATATATTTTTTATAGGCAATGTATATATATTTTTTATACATAATTGCCTTCATACTAACTCGACTCGATTAGGTTTTGTTTATACATTTAGGTTTACATTTCTTGTAAACATACATAAGTTATTTGTACAACATGATTTTTTTTAAAATACTTACATAAACGTATATCATCTTTTTTAGAGGTCCATTTAACATGAGTTTGTTTGCTCCTGCAATTCTTTCTTGAAAAACAATTGACCCTTCGACTTTGTATTCACCTTGTAAGGATTTTCTAAATAAAATATTAAAATATAATAATTAAAAAATAATAAATACATAAATAAATATTATCCGGTACAGAAATTTTGAATAAAAACGGTTTGAATTCGAATATATTATCTGACGGGACATTTTTTTACATTTCTCTAAATTATTTAAAACTTTGTCCGGGACACCATTTTTGAATTAACTCAGCAGAAACTAGATAAAATTTACTAAAATTCCATGTACACAATTTTATACACTTTGATACAAAATTTTTGAATAGTTTGTACTCGCCCTAATATATTTTGTATATTTACAATATATGGTTTCGGGACACTTTTTTACATTTCTTCAAATAACTTAAAAACTTTGGCGAAGGCACTATTTTATCTTTACCTTAGCAAAAACTAGATAAAATTTACTACAGTTACGTATAAACTGTCTTATACACTTTGCTACAAGATTTTTGAATAGTTTGTACTCGCCCTAACGTATTTTGCTTGTTTAGAATATATGGATTTGGGACACTTTCTTACATTTATTCAAATAACTCAAAAACTTTGTCGGGACACCATTTTTTAATTAGCTCAACAGAAACTAGATAAAATTTACTAAAATTCTGTATAAACTGTGTTATACACTTTTATTCAAAATTTTGTGAAATTTGAACTCGCCCTAATGTATTTTGCATATTTATTATTTATATTTCGGGACACTTTTTTACATTTCTTCAAATAACTCAAAAACTTTGTCCGAGACACTATTTTTTAATTATCTTAGCAGAAACTAGATAAAATTTACTAAAATTATACAAACTTTTTCAATTCGTCCACAAATCCCTTTGTGGTATTTTGTTCATTGGACACCACTAATATTTTCGACGTTTCCCCATCGTCGCGCAAAATGATACCGGTTGCGTTCTCGAGTACAGTTCCGACGATTCGAACCTCTTGAGTGGCGACATCTCTAGACACATTGAAGATACCTATGAAAACAAAAATATAACAATAAATAAAGATAATTTTTTTATTTATCTAGTTACTTATACCTGTTACTTTATCACAAGAGCTTCCATCTCCGCCACAGACTCCACAAGCGTCCAATCGTAACTCAGAGCCGACCTTCATATCGCAACCGACTTTCTAGAAATTTGAAAAAATCATAACAAAAAAATTTATTGAAAAGTGAATTTGTTACTTACTCTGCATACTCCTGAAATGCACATATCAGAAGTGGGAGGATTGCAAAAGGTTCCGTCCTGCACGTTTTCTCCAAAGGAAACCAGCAGGGTGTCGGATGTGTCGTAACAATATAGTTGGCAAGGGTCGTCTGGAAATGGAAAAGTAATAAAAAATCTGATTCAATATAAGGTAGAAGTCAAATGCATTAGTAGTAATTTCTAGAATGGGAAATCAGATAAATACTTATTACTTTTATAATTAACAAATGAGATAAATGCAACCATTAAATAGTAAATGTCTAATAATGAGAATTAGATGGCCTATGAGAAATAAAGTGCTATAGATTGAGTTGGCAATCATAAAAAGACTTCTGCACATCTGATCTGATGGAATATTATCAAACATTTTGATGGATGATTCATGTGTCTGTTGATTCATCGTTTTCAAATAGATTATTATAAATACTGTAACTTACATATGTTTACAGAAAAGTAAAAAAAAAAACTTAATCAATTGAATTTATTATGAAGGACATTGTCTAATATTTATAAGAATTACATAAACTGAATTGCAACGTTATTTATTTGAAGTATATAGAATGGAAAATAATCAATGATTGTTTTGAATAATTTCAAATTTATTTAATAAATTTATTATTATAGATTATTTATTATAAATACTGTAAATTTATAAGTTCTTATTAAATTGGGCGACGAGCGAATTCTACAAATAACTTATGAGTATGTTTATAAGAAATTAAACTAATTTTTTTTTACATTTGATTTTTTCGAAAATTTAGGAATTTATTCAAAATTTTGATTTTTTTTAGAATTTAAAATTAAAAAAAAGTAATTTTTTAATTTTTTGAGAATGTACAATTTTTTGAAAATATTCGATTTTTTGAAAATTTCGAAATAGTCTCTTTGTAAGAAATCGATTTTTTTTAAATTTGATAGTTTTTGAATTTTTTCAAAATTTAATTTTTTTTTGAAAATAATGAAAAATTTCCAAAATTTGAATATTTGAAATTTGTTTCGATACCTTGAATTTTTTTGAATATTGTGATTTTTTTTGAAATTACAAAAATTACAAAAATTTCTGTGAAAGCATTCTTTGCACACCGTCTAGTCTACTCAAGCTAAATATTTTTTGAATTAATGTAGTCGGATGGTTCTCTCAAAAACTGCACAACCGTTTTTATACCCTTTGCGCTCCATACCTCCTAATAGGCTAGACGTGCCTTTTGCGAAAACTCATCGCGATCGAGTACGAACCTAATGTTTTTTCAATCATACAAATATCGGTTATTCCGTAAATTTTAAAATTAAAAATCTTGGTACGGAAACCAAAAAAATTGACACAAAATGTGTACACATTATTAAAATCTCTGTAAAATATCTGATAATTGCATATGTCTAATAAACATTATTGACCGCCAAAAGGCATTTTTTTTAACCTTTTCTTATATTGAGAGACCTGCCTTCCCAAAAATTCAATCAGTTTTTCAATACATCAATACAAGAAAAATGTTTTTTGAATTATTCAAATCAGACGCTCGGTTCTCTCAAAAATTGAATTATCATTTTCGACACTTTTTGCCCCATATCTTCGGAACGGCTAGACTTGCCTTTGCCAAAAACTAATCAGCACGTCTCCTTATCAATAGCAATCGAATGTTTTTTTAATTATTCAAATCGGTTGAATCGTGTTCCCGAAATCGTCGAAGAAAATTTGTATCCGAACATACACACACACGCACTCGTACACACACACATCCATTTTTTTTTCTAAGATACGCCAAAATGTTCAGAAACCTCTAAAACGTAAATTTTTCTTAGTAACTTTGAAAAAATTAGATTTTAGGGAAATTTGAAATTTTTGAAAAAATTTGAAATTTTGGAAAAGAACTTGGAAAAATGTTTTTTATTTTCAAATATTTTAGAAATTATACACACACATCCATAAATTTTTTCTAAGATATGCCAAAATGTTCAGAAACCTTTAAAACGTGAAGAAATGCAAACAATTTCATTTTCGATTTTTTTGCGAGTACTATAGGGTAACTTTTTTTTTTGAAAATGCTTTTGAAAAAATATAAACTACTGAATATTTTCTCAATTAAATCTTTTCTATTTGAAAGTGCAATCCTTCTGGTTAAAGAAGACTGAAGAGTTATATATATATATATATTATAGTCAAATGAAATGTATATATTATATAAAATGAAAGTTTTTCATAATCTCTCATACCAGGCATATCTGTCTGACTGAGATATAAAAATAATGTATATATGTAAATAAATAAATAATAATAAAATATAATAATCGAAAATAATTTAATTGAAATGGCTGTCTAACTTTTTAATGGCTGTCAAAAATTCTAAATTGCTACCAATAAAAAAAATTATATGGCGGACCCTTTATAACTTACCCTACGGGAAGTTAAAAAAGTAGCATTACAAACAAAAAGATTTTTATATTTTATATATTTTTACCTCCAAATCCGATATTTAAAAAATAGCAAGCCAGGAAAAATAAAAGTTTTATTAAATACGTCAAAAATACATGTCAAAAAAAATCTTAGTACAAAATTCTTTACAAAATGGAATCGGATCTTCCAAAATCCAGTAAACTGCCAAAAGCCGCCTACTACCTTCTAGTGATGTACACCTGCCTGATGTTAGACTACGCCTGCACCTCGTCTACAACCCATCTTTTCGTGACCACAAAACTCGGATCATCCATCAACAATTCAAAAACATTCTTTTACATTCGGTTGTTTAGTTTTTTTCTGCTACCGATAGGAGCACTGGTAGCAGAAAGTTTCTACAACAAATACGTTCTATCGCTCATATTCTACATTTGCGAATGGGTCATCCAAATTATAATAGTGTTGACAGCTTTACCAGTGTTTCGTTTGATATCGCAGGAATTGAATTTTGTAAAAATAGCTTGCGGGGTTGTTTTCCAATTTTGGACAGGCGGTGCCCCAGACGCATTCGATGGAAACCAGTTTGATTTGCCTAGAGATGATGAAGCCTTGACCAAGTTCTACATGATACGTTACGGCATACACAACTTTTTATCGTTTTGTAGTTATTTATACAGTCCAGTCGCCAAAAGTTATGCAGCTTGTTTGGAGGAACAAGAGTGCTACTATTTACCATACATCACCAGTTTAGTCTTTGCGTCCTTGATGGTTATTATTTTTTTACTCGGTACTAAAAAATATGTGATAACCAAAGCGGAGCGTTTGATGATTTTGGATGTGTTCACATGTGAGTTTTATGCTTGCAAGCAATGGTTACTGGAACGTAAAACCAATCCAAAACGACACTGGATGGACTATGCTATTCCAAAATACGATTACGACTTGGTGAATGATATTAAAATTGTTCACAACCTCCTGATTGTAGTTTCAACTATACCAATATACACAGCTGTGTACAGAGTCGCAAAAAGTGAGTGGATGTACCAGGCTGGTAGACTTGATGGTCGTATGGGATATTACACTTTTATACCAGATCACTACAACATCCTAAATCCTTGCATCGTGTTAATTTTACTACCAATATGCAGAAAGTACGTGGATCCTGTACTAGCTCGTTTTAAATCTGATAGAGTTCTACGTAAAATGATGCTTGGTGTGGCTTCTCTTGCTCTAGCTTTTTTGTTTGCAGGTTTTATAGAAACATCAATAAAGCATGAACAACCTTTGTTAGCTAAAGAAGACTCGATACAGCTACGTATTTTTAACGGTTTCAATTGTTCCATACTTGTACGTGGACCAGGATTGATAAAAAACAGCGTGCTAATCACACCTTATGGAGGATATACTGATAAGCACATACAATTCCGGAAAGCCTTCAGAAGTTTACACTTTCTCATCAAAAGTCAACTGTTCAACCCAACGACGGTGTTACTACATGCAACTGCTGGAACTGCCTTGACAGTGTTTATCAAAAACGATGACGGACAGGCAGTTGCTGTGTCTTATCAGGAAAACTTGGAGAAAAACACAAATGGTTTACCTGTTTTAACAGTAATCGGTGCCGATGCACCAGACTCAATCCTCATAATCAGTAGACTAGGATTGCAAACACCACTTTTCCCTCATCCCAATCGTATAGCCGATGAACCTTTAGTCACAGATTTACGAAGACAAGTCACCGTTGTTGCAGACTACTATAAATTCCTACTAAACGGCGTGAATATCAAAGAGTTCCAATTGAAACCAGGAGGTTTGTACCTTATCACACTATCAGGCAGTTCGGGAAATTTCTTTACCATCACGGAACCGAATTCAGTGCTCGTTTTCTGGATGTTACCTCAGACTTTATTGATATTGTTCGGGAAAATCTACTTCGAGGTGACCGTGATGCAGTTTTGTTACAGCGAAGCTCCGATGTCTTTGAAGATTTTCGCGTTGTCTTTCCGAGGATTTGGTGAAGGAATCGGCGAAGCGTTCTCGTTTGGTATTATTGAACAGATAGGATTTGCGCAAGATTATAAATTTTATTTGTACTCGGTGTTACTTGCACTTAATGTTTTGTGGATTGCGTTTGTTGGTAAAATTTATAAACCTATGCAGATTAAAGAGAAGACATTTTGATATTGATTGTGTTTAGATATTTAAAGTATTTAATTTAGCGTTACATTTTGGTCTTGGCTTGGCACAAATAGAAATGTCAAAGTTGTTGACAAATTTAGCTGTCAAATTTTGCAAAGCTTACTCAGTTTAAAACCAGTATTAATATTTTATTCTTGATAATTTTTCAAGTCTGATTCATTTTCCTATTCGTGCATAGACATTACACTACATGCACTGCTAGCTCATATGTTTATCATTGTATATAGTGCTCAAGCATAGAAGGACAAGTGACGTCACATGTCTGAGCGAACATTGCCGACGACAATCGCGGAGTCTACCGATTCATCAAATGTCACATGTCATATGTGTAGAATTTATGTTAAAAGTTTATGTGAATAATAATACAGCCGTTTATGCAGAAGGATAAAAACATACTGCTTATATATTCTTTAACTAATCACATGCATTACAAGTATTATTAACAATCACTTGTTGGCACAAAACAAAAAAGAAACATATTAGGTTGTCAAATATCTCCCTTCCGCTTTTTAACTTCCCGTAGGGTAAGTTATAGTAATCGTCCAAAAATCGAAATCAAAAATTTTTACATTTCTCGACGTTTTGAAGGTTTCTGAACATTTTGGCATACCTCAGAAAAAATGGATGTGTGTGTGTGTGTGTGTGTGTGTGTTTTGTATGTCCGCGTTTTTTCGTCCACGTTTTCGGGCGCACGGATCAACCGATTTGAATGGTTTAAAAAACATTCGATTCCTATTGATAGGGAGATGTGCTGATTAGTTTTTGGCAAAGGTAGGTCCAGCCGTTACGGAGATATGGAGCAAAGAGTGCAAAAAATAGAAAGCGAATTTTTGAGAGAACGGATCAACCGATTTGAATGGTTTAAAAAACATTCGATTCCTATTGATAGGGAGATGTGCTGATTAGTTTTTGGCAAAGGTAGGCCCAGAGGTTTCGGAGTTACAGAGCTAAATTTAAAAAAAATGGCTGTTTTTGAGAGAACTAAGCGTCCGATTTAAATGATTCAAAGAACTTTCTGCTTTTTTCAACAAAACAATTGATTTTGGAAAAAAAAATTTTTTGTTTCTAATTTTTTTTCAAAAATTTTTTTTTGTAATTTTGGACTAAAAATTCAAAAAATCACCCAAGCTAAGCACAGTCTAAGCGCCACTCTGGTAGAAATGTTTACGCAAGTGCGTTTAGACTGTTTGTGTACTGGAGCACTTTTCCAATTTTGTGAAAATTATTGAAAAATGTGAAAATGCCGCCAAACTGAGCACAGTATAAGTGAAAATGTCGCACAGAATTATTTGCAAATGCGTTTAGACTGTGACTATGGGGAGCACTTTTTCAATTTTGTGTAAATTTGGCAACTATTTTTTTTTTGGAATTTGATTCGAAATGAAATGACGATTGTTAATGTTCTGGAGATCATAAATTGATTTATTTATAATTAACTTTCCATAGGGTAAGTAATCGCAAAAAAATCGAAAATGAAAATTTTTATATATCTTCACGTTTCAGAGGTTTCTGAATATGTTGGCATACCTTGGAGAAAATTGATGTATGTGTGTGTGTATGTGTGTGTGTGCGTGCATGTGTGTGTGTTCGGATACAAATTTTCGTCGACGATTTCGGGAACACGGATAAAGCAATTTGAATAATTCAAAAAACATTCTAGCCGTTCCGAAGATATGGGGCAAAAAGGGTCAAAAACGGTAACTTAGTTTTTAAGAGAACGGAGCGTTCGATTTGTATAGTTCAAAAAACATTTTACTTATATTAACAAGATGAAGATTTGATCAAATTTTCATGAAGATAGGTCTAGCGGTTTCGGAGATCTAGTAAAAAAAAACTAAAAAAAAATAACATTTGGCGGTCAACAATAATCATTAGACATTAGACATATGCATATCAAATTATCAGATATTTTATTGAGATTTTTACAATAAGTATAAGTTTTGTTTACATTCCTATGGGTTCCGTACCATTGTTTTTCTGTTTGACAGCGACGCGGCGCTTACGCGCTTTATATTTTGTCTCTATGCAGTTAAAGCAGTACGATTGCTTTGAAAAAAAGTTCAGATCTTCCAAAATATATCAAAATGAAGATAACATTTTTTCCAAAAAAAAATTTTTATAAAAAAAATTGTTTAAAATTTTTTTTTTTTAAAAAAATTTTATTTTCAAAAAAAGTAATTTTTTGTCCAATTTAAAATTTCTAAAAAATCTTATTTTTTCGAAGTAAAATTTTTTCAAAAATGTTAATCGTTTTTAAAAAAATAATAATATTTGGTACGGGAAGTTGCAGCAATTTGCCTCAAGGCACGATGCCTTAATTGCCTTAAGACAGAATTCCACTTACAGCTAGTTTGCTCTTGGTTTATAATACAAAAAGGCGGAAGGGAGATATTTGACAACCTATTATATACATAAGCAGAGTAGACATAGAGCGTTTAGTATCAAACTTCAACAATATGTTACGTGCCTAACATAGGCCTTTCAATATATAAACTGATTTTAACAGCTTATTTGTATAGCGAAGAAAATGCCTTCATGCATTCCAGACAGAAATTTTGTCTAAGACCGACTAAGACCTGCGCTTTGTTAGGCATTATTTTATGGGGGAGGATCTAGAATGTTATCATTCTTATACTAATTTTATACTTATTTTTTAATTGAGCGAAGTCCCATTAAAAAATGAGTATAAAATCAAGGTTAAAATTATAACATTCTAGAGCCTCCCCCCACGAAGTAATTCTCACTAGAATTAAAATTAAAATCTGAATTATTTCCGATATACCAATTTTTTTTTCAAAAGCAATTGTTTCGTCAATACAAACAGAAAGTTTTTTAAATCGTTCAAACCGGATGCTTAGTTCGCTCAAAAACAGACATTTTTTGTACATTTTGCTCGGTATCTCCGAAATGACGGGACCTGTTTTTGCCAAAAACTAATCACCTCTTCTTCCAATCATTACAAATTGAATGTTTTTTAGATCATTCAAATCGGATACTCCATTCTCTCAAAAACTCGATTTGTTTTGTCTGCACTTCTTCCTTCGTATCTCCGTAATGGCTGGACCTGCCTTCGCCAAAAACTAATCAGCACATCTCCCTATCAATAGGAATCGAATGCTTTTTAAACCATTGAAATCGGTGGATCCGTGCGCCCGATATCGTTGACGAAAAATTGTATCCATACATACACACACACGCACACACATCCATTATTTCTGAGGTTTACAGCTGTTTACATTGATAAATAAAAATTTTGTAAATTTTTTATAAATTCGAAATATTTGAATTTTTTTAAAAAAAAACTATTTTTCTTAATTTTTTGAGAATTTGGTAATTTTTGAAAATATTCTATATAAATATTGATTGTTTTTGAAAATTTCGAACATACTCAAATTTTTACAAGAATTTTTTTTTTTTTAATTTCGATTTTTTTTATTTCAAATTTTTTTTTTGAAAATTTTCAAGATTACGAAATGTTTTGTAGAAGCATCCATTTTTTTCAAAAGTATGCCAGAATGTTCAGAAACCTCTAAAACGTAAGGATGTGCAAAAATTTTCAATTTTGATTTTTTGACGATTACAATAATCCTACGGGAAGTTAACCAGTATTCTTTTTATAGCAATGCACTTGTGTTCCCTTATTACGCATTAGAAGTATAACTTCAAAATCAATTAAAAGCAATAACTCACTTTTATCAAAATACGGCAACCATTCATAGAATTTCCCATGGTAGCTCTCGTTGTTTTTGCTTGAACATTGTTCTGCACGAAAACTGGTCGAATCTTCTGGACAAAATTGGCTTGTGCATACCCTATATCTATAAATAACAACAAAACATATAAAACCTTATTTTTACAATTTATATCATTATTGATGCAATTCTGCCTTAATAGAGCTGTTACGGCAGAATTGTCCCCTATATCTATTTACCTGGTTCTTTCTCCAACACAAAACCTTCCTCCGTGTTTCGGTTTTGGTGAATCGCATTCTCGACTTTGGCTCTGGATTCCGCCAATACAGATATTGGGATCTAAATCTGTATATTCTTTTTGGTTTTGATTATCTGATCCACCCCTGCTGCATGATGTCCAGGAACCCCAAGGACCCCAACTGCCGTGAATTGCAGGAGGCGTTGGCGCTTTTGGGACGCATTGTTGATTTTGACACCACTGAAACAAGGATAATAAAATAACTAGTTGGTTTGGTATTTAGCCTTGAGGCAAGTTACATGAACTTCCCTAAATGTATAAATAATCGACTTAATCGATAAAAAATAAATTAATTTGTGAGTTATTAGAAGTATTCCGAATGGACTTAATACACATCTTTGAAAACGAATGAACACGTTAACTCGGAGTATTTTCTAAAAGCAAATTTTCAAAAATCAATAATTTTAATAATTGAGCCAGTTTTTTTGTAGGACTTTAATTGTTTAGTATGTTCATTAAGACCAAGCATTTATCGTTATAATATATCATCTAATTTTAATTTTAGCAAATGTCAAAAAAACTACTCATTTTCTTAATCTTTGAATAATTCTTAAAATTAAACTACTTGTCGTAAGGCCGTGATATTTCAGTAAGTTCTATAAGACCATGATATATATCGCCAAAAAAAGTTCCATGAAAATCGGCTTAAATTTTTTTTTCAACAGTTAATTACAAGAAAACGGCTCGGTAGATTTTCACCTAAAACTAATCAGTATCATTCCCAACTAATATTTTTCGAACAGTTTTTGATTTTTTAAAATCGATTCGGTAGTTTGAGCTTAAATGTGGACGAAAAGTTTAACACTTTTTTTCAAATTGCAAAGAAACGGTTGGGCAGATCGTCTCATAAAACTGACAAATTATAGTCCTCATTGAGATACACCAAATGGCTTTTAAATTTATGAAATTGGTTCAGGCGTTTTTGAGAAAACGTCGATGAAAGTTCTAATTTTGACAAATGCCAAAAAGACCATACTAATTTTTGCAAACTTTGACAAACTTTTAAAGCTAAACCAGTTGTCGTAGGGCTGTAATATTTTAGTATGATCTAGAAGACTATGGTATCTACCGTCAAAAAAAATCATAATAATCGTCAAAAAATTTTTTAACACTTTATTACAAGAAAACGGCCCGGCCGATCTCTACCAAAAACTAATCAGCACGATTCCCAATCAACATCTTTCGAACGGTTTTTGAATTTTCTTAATCGGTTCAGAATTGCAGGCTAAAACGTGGATGAATTTTTTTTCACTTTTCTGCGATTTATAAAGAAACATCTCAACCGATCGTTCCACAAAACTGACAAACGATAGTCCTCGTCGAGATACATCGAATGGCTTTTAAATTTTTGAAATCGGTCCAGCTGTTTTTGAGCAAACGTCGATTTACGGCAAAAAATCTGTTCACACGCACACACACACACACACACACATACATACTTTTTCCATTTGTTGGTCTCATTCGATTAGGAATGTCTTGTAACGTCGAGAAAACATAAAATTAGCGAGTCGGATTTTCTGATGAAAACATAAACTTCTCCTTCGGGAAGTTAATAATAAAAATATTAATACAGTCTAATTTTACGTGTATCTTACCATTCCTTCGCCGCAAGTAGTTCCCTCTGCTGCAGGTCGCAGCAGAGTCGAACAAACGCCGTCGAACTCGCACCAGAGCCTGGAGCATATCTCGTCCGGCGGTGAACAAGGAACAGGACCTTCGATATTAGAATCTCCTGGTTGATTTGAAAATGTTGTATTTGATGTGGAGCTGCTCAAATTGAATTGCATTCTGCATTGTTGAACTGCATCGTATAAAACACCTAAAGAGAAAGGAAAGGTTAATGAAACTAGTGGGGCACATGGCATCGTGCCTTAAGGCAAATTACTGGAACTTTCCGTACCGTAATTCGACATTGGAGGAATAAAAATAATAATTGTTTTGAATAATCTCAAATAGATCATTTATTACATACTATAAACTTATAAGTGCTTTTTAAATCGGGCGACGAACGTATTTTATGAACAAATTATGAGTACGTTTACAAGAGTTCATTTTTTTTTAAATTCGATTTTTTGATAATTAACTTCCCGTAGTTATAGGGTAAGTTATTGTAATCGTCCAAAAATCGAAATCGAAATTTTTTACATTTCTCGACGTTTTGAAGATTTCTGAACATTTTGGCATACTTCAGAAAAAATGGATGTGTGTGTGTGTTTGTGTGTATGCATGTATGGATACAATTTTTTGTCCACGTTTTCGGGCGCACGGATCAACCGATTTGAATGGTTCAAAAAACATTCGATTCTTATCGATAGGGAGATGTGTTGATTAGTTTTTGGCAAAGGCAGGTCCAGCAGTTACGGAGATAAAGAGCAAAGAGTGCAGAAAATAAAAATTGAGTTTTTGAAGGAACAGAGCATCCGATTTGAATGATCCAAAAAACATTCAATTTGTAATGACGGGAAGAAGTGGTGATTAGTTTATGGCAAAGGCAGGCCCAGCGGTTTCGGAGATACAAAGCTAAATGTGCAAAAAATTTTAGCTTTTGAGGGAACAAAACGTCCGATTTGAATGATTCAAAGAACTTTCTGCTTGTTTTAACAAAATAATTGATTTTGGAAAAAAAATTGTTTCAAAATTTTTGTTTCAAATTTTTTTGTTTCAATTTTTTAAAAATTTTGATTTTTTTTTTGAAAATTCTCAAAATTTCTAAATTTTCTGTAGATGCATTTTTTGCACATCGTCTACTCAAGCAAAATATTTTTTGAATTACTCTAATCGGATGATCCGTTCTCTCAAAAACTGCATAACCATTTTAACACCCTTTGCGCTCCGTACCTCCGAAACGACAAAATTGCCTATTGCAAAAACGTCTCACGATCGAGTACGAACCGAATGATATTTTAATCATACAAATCGGTTATTCCATACTGTCGAAAATGTTGAGGACATTTGTTTGAACCATATAAAAAAACTTCAAAATTAAAAATCTTGGTACGGAACCCAAAAAGTTTACACAAAATGTGCACACAGTATTAAAATCTCTATAAAGTATCTGATAATTTGATGTACATATGTCCAATGAACATTTTTGACCGCCAAATGACACTTTTTTAGCTTATTTTTATAGAGTCAACAACCGCTGGACCTGCCTTCTCAAAAATTTAATCAGTTATTCATCTTGTTAATACAAGTAAAATGTTATTTGAATTATTCAAATCGGACGCTCCGTTCTCTTAAAAACTGAGTTACCGTTTTTGGCACTTTTTGCTCTGTATCTTCGGAACGGCTAGACCTGCCTTTGCCAAAAACTAATCAGCAAGTCTCCCTATCAGTAGGAATCGGATGTTTTTTGAATTATTCAAATCGGTTGATCGGTGTTCCCGAAATCGTCGATGAAAATTTGTATCCGCACACACACACACTCACCCACACACACACACACACATACTTCTTTTTTTTCTAAAGTATGCCCAAATATTCAGAAACATTTGAAACATAAAGATATATAAAAAATTTTCTGTTCTTTTGCGATTACTATAACTTGCCCTACGGGAAGTTAAAAATCTTGCTTGGAGGAGAAGGTGCATTTACCTGGAGGAGATTCTGGGAATTTATAAACTTGTGGTGGTGGATCTTCTAGACACTTTCCCAAGCCTTGGCTGAAATATAAATGTATATAATTTTGATGAGGGTGAAAATTTAGGGTCATATGATTTTTCAACACTTACTCCAGAAAATTAGTAATATCACGCCTACTGCATTTGGACCAGGCAACCTGAACGGCATCTGCCTCAAAACTAGGTGTCATCACATGAACCGTACTACCAGTTCTTCCCGTACAACCACCAGTAGCGCTATCATCGTGATACATACCGAAACTACAAAAAAAATAAATAAACAAGATATACAAATTAAAAGTATTATATTACCACAATATCTTACTTGTGGCCTAATTCGTGTGTTATCGTATGAGCCAAAGTTATCCCGTTGTCCTGGTTGACGCTGCACGATTTCCCTGGATTGCACATTCCTGCCACATTGGCGACGCCTAAGGTGCTAAAACAAACAACATACTGATATCATCATTAACTTCCCGTAGGGTAGTTATGGTAATGGGGCCGAAAATCGAAAATGAAATTTTTTGCATTTCTTCACCTTTTGAAAGCTTCTGAACATTTTACTGACATACCTCAGAAACTAAATGGATGTGTGTGTGTGCCTGTGTGTGTTTTGTATGTCCACATTTTCGGGCGCATGGATCAACCGATTTAAATTGTTCACAAAGCATCAAAAAACGTCAATAGTCTCTTTTTTAATTTTTTCTTTAATTTGCTCGTCATGTAGATAGAATCTCTTTTAATTTTTTCATTAGTTTAATGGCAGTTGAGTCTCTTTATTTTATTATTAGTTGCTCGTCGGTAGAGTTTTACATTATTTTTTTATTAGTTTGCTCGTCAGTAGAGTTCCTTTACATTATTTTTTCATTTTAGCTCGTCAGTAGAGTCTCTTATTTTTATTATAAGTTTGCTCTTCAGTAAAGTCCTTTTTTATTCTTTTGTCTAGTTTGCTTAATTTCTTTGTAGTTTTTGCTCACTAGTAAGTAGTATCTTAAATTTTTGTATAAATTCACTTGTCAGTAGAGTTCCTTTTTATTAACTTCCCGTAGGGTAAGTTATAGTAATGGGCCGAAAATTGGAATTGAAAATTTTTACATTTCTCGACGTTTTGAAGGTTTCTGAACATTTTGGCATACCTCAGAAAAAATGGATGTGTGTGTGTATGTAAACAAAAAACTTTCGATTCCTATTGATAAGGAGATGTGCTGATTAGTTTTTGGCAAAGGCAGGAACGGAGCATCCGATTTGAATGATCTAAAAAACATTCAATTAGTAATGACGGGGAAAAGTGATTATTAGTTTATCGCAAAGGCAGGCCTAACCATTTCGGAGATACAGAGCTAAATGTACAAAAAATGGCAGTTTTTGAGTGAACTAAGCGTCCGATTTGAATGATCTAAAAAACTTTCTGCTTGTACTGACAAAACAGTTGCTTTTGAGGATAAACAATAATTATATCTTTTTTTATTTTCCATAAAATTTTCGTATTTTTGGATTATAAATTCAAAAATTACCCAGGCTAAGCACAGTCTAAGCGCCACTCTTTGTGAAAAATCGTATTAAAAAATGTGAAAATGCCGCCCAGCTAAGCACAGTATAAGTGAAATGTCGCACAGAATTATTTGCAAATGCGTTTAGACTGTGACTATACGGGAGCACGTTTTCAATTTTGTGTAAATTAGGCAACTATTTTTTTTTTGAAATTGAATTCGAAATGAAATGACGATTGTTAATGTTCTGGATATAAATTGATTTATGATTTATGATTTACATTTGATTTGCTCTGATATAACAAACAAGATAGCAAACATAATGAAAGTTACAGTATTTGTAATATATTAATATTTGAAAACGTTTAAAATTTCTCGAATATTTCATTACGGTAAGGAAAGTTCCAGCAATTTGCCTCAAGGCACGATGCCATAAACCACTAGTTTTTTACTTACATCAGTCATCCCACAGACTTACCTACATGATCCACCATCGTCTTCATTTACTTTTTCTGATGGATTGGCGTCACCAGTACATAGACTTGTCCTGGTCACCAGGACAGCTGCATCGTGGTGCAGGGCATGGTGATCACTTGCTGTGTTCGCTAATCTTTGCCAGCGGCAGAATTTTTTTAACACGTTTGAATAACCACCTAGAGATAAAAAGATATAGTGAATGCTTATAGTTGGTTCAATAGTATATGGTTTATTTTACCATTATTCCAATTAGATTTATCAGCCAAAGCAATGTGTCTTTTACTCCTGCTTGTACCAGGAGGGTTGTCGGTGATTTTTACGTCACCATCTTCATGAATATTGTGTTTGTGATCTATATGAGCTAATTCTTGCTCCAGAAGGACGTCCAGGTCGTCTTCTAGTAAAACTATGCGCACCACAGCAACGTGGACGAAGTTTCCTAATGAGGGGTCTTGGTAAATTGAATTTACCTAAAAAAATAAGAACTAAGTGTAAGTAGACTAATAGACATATTATTATACTGAGTTGCAGTCGGGCAATCAAATGTTAGAAATGTTAGAAACATACAGGGTGTCTGTTCTAAGTGTGCTGCCAATTATTCCAACTTTATTGAATAACGATTAAATAATTTTTTGTAGGCTATTTTTAGATATACTTTAAAACATTTGCAAAAAATTAGTTATTCTTTTATAATCAATTTCGAAGTAAGGAATAGTTGGAGGGTGAAAATCTAAGGTTGTATATATTTTCCAATTTCGCAGTATGAAAAAATTAAGAAATTGACAACTCTTGAAAATGCTTTTCTAAGAAAAATTAATTAATTAATATAATTAAAAAGTTCAAAAAAATCTTAATTTAAATTCAGTGAAAAATATTTACTGACTGAAAACGGAATGAAAATTCATTAGATTACTTAAATTATTATTATTAAAAATGATTTTATAGCAGGGTGAAAATTTAACTTTTAATTTCATTTAACGTTTAATTTAATAACAATTAAATAACTTTTTGCAGGCTAATGATATTTTTAGATATACTTTAAGACATTTGCAACAAAATTAGTGATTTTTTTTATCAACAAATTACGACGTACTGAAGTAGTAGGAGTGTTGAATCTAAGGTTGTATATATTTTCCAATTCCACAGTATGAAAAAATTAAGTAAAGAGATTGACAACCCTTAAAAATGCTTTTCTAAAAAAAATTAATTAATTAATATAATTAATAAGCTTAAGAAAATCCTAATTTAAATTCAGTGAAAAATAATTACTGACTGAAAACGGAATGAAAATTAATACGATTACTTAAATCACTATTATTAAAAAGGGTTTTAAAGCAGGGTGAAAATTTAGGGTCGTGTGGTTTTTTAATTAAGCAATAGAATTTTTTTTCTATCTCTGTTTAAACATTAACTATAATAGTTTTTTTGATACTTTGTTTATATCAATGTCTATAACATTATTTTTTTAAATTTGTAGATCTACTGATAATGTAAAATTTTTTATCGAAAAGATAGAAAAAATAAAGATTAAAATGTAAATATTTGCTTGTTGTAAATTTTTCGTACATTTTGCCTATTTATTTTTAATCTAGATTTTTCAAAATTTCGAATCGTAGCAATAAAATAATGAAAATATAGTAATTTTTATCTAGTTTCTGCTAAGCTAACTAGATAAGAGTTGATGTGAAAAACCATTTTGAATCCATATATAGCAAATTTACGAACTACATAAGGGTTCACACTCATTTTATTCCATAAATTTTGTATAAGACTATATAAAACATTTTATATGGAAAAGTAGTAAATTTTATCGAGTTTCTACTAAAATAATTAGAAAAGAGTGTCCTGACCAAAGTTTTCAAGGTATTTAACAAAATGTTAAAAAATGTCTTAAGGATGAGTCATACTCATTTTATTCAAAAATATCGTATAAATTTATATAAAAGTGTTTATATGGAAAAGCAGTAAATTTTATTAAGTATCTGCCAGGATAGTTAGAAAAGAGTGTCCTGACCAAAGTTTTCAAGTTATTTATACAAATGTAAAAAACAGTCCTGAACTCCCCAAATATTACAACATGTAAGGGCCAAATTCTAACTAGCTGTATTACGTCTTGTGGGTTACTTGGTAATTGTTTATCATTTTATTCACAATTTAACAATTATTTTACCATGTTCATAATTGTCAACAAATATGCTTCAATATCTGTATCGCTGTGGAAGTTCACCATCGATTTGTCAGCCACCAGCAAAGTTTCGACATGTCGAGGTCTGCTGATCGATCTTGCTCTTCTCGATAACAAATTACCCTAAAATGATAATAAAGAATTATTATTAATATAATAATTTATTTATTTATTATACATATGCAGGCTTTACCTGCTGTCTTTTTATTCTGGCGGTTTCGAATATCATGGTTCGTTTCTTTGGTTCTTTTGTTCCGCAATTGCCTGCGCGCCGTTTCTTCTTTCGTTTTCGTTTCCTATGCAAACCCTTAAATAGAAATTTATATATATATATATATATATATATATTAACAAAGTCTAATATATATATATATATATATATATATATACTAGATGACCCGACAGACGTTATCCTGAAACCACGCCTACATTTTTTTTGGCAGATGACAGTTTTCATTAGTTAGTTTTCAATGATGACATGTCGTTTTTTGCATTTTCCATTTATTTATACAATATTACTATATTTTTATAATCACATACTTCCTGAAAAATTTCTTTAACAAACTTCAGAAAGATTTATCAAAATCCGAATAATCTTTTAGGAAGAGTATATTTACATACGTCACTACAGAAAAGTTTTATATATAAGATATCTTATATATAAAAATGGAGCTCTCGATCAAATGATCCGCTAAAACTCGAAAACGGCTAAACCGATTTGGCCAGTCTTAGTCTTAAAAAATTTGTGCTAATCAGATTGTCGGAAAGGTGAGATATTATTTCAAAATCGCGTAGAAATTTTACATTTTTAATTTGAACATTTTTGTAGAAGCTAAATTTGAATAAAACAATGGACGGTGGCTAATACGTCGAATGTCAAACGTTCTTGACAGATGATGTTCAAGTACGTTTAATAGGATGCTGTACGTGAATATTATTTAATTATGATTAAATTGTAGTAAGTAGTTTTGTTTGTAGTTTTATTTATACACAAAAACATTATGAAACGGATTGCAAGTGTTACTAGAAACTCAAAATTTTTTGAAATGTTAATATGAAAATGCATTTTTGGCGTTGTAGCACTTTTTTGCAAATCATATTTATCTCAAACACGGTGCTCTGAAAGAGCCGATTTGTATAATTATATACTCATTGGTATTTATAAAAAAAATTCTTGGTTATATTATTTTTTATTTATGTTATTTAAATTCAGAACCTAAATTTGGTATCGATCAAAGGGACAAAAAGCATTTTGTTGAATAACATTTTCCCAGTTATAATTTCCCAGAAAAATAAATAATAATATATGAAGGTCCGGGGTTAAAATGGTCTACCACCAATGTGTCAAAAACCAGTAAAGTTAAGCATTGTTTAACAACAATATTTGAAAGTAGAGGTAAAAAGATGTACAACCAGCTATAACCTTGATTTGAAAACGGTAATCTTTGAAATGGAGGAGATAAACGGTAATCTTTGAAAATGCATATTAAAAGTATTTTCTTCCGTTGGTAGTTTTTTAGCATTATTTAAAAATGGAATTATTCTGTGAAATACCTTTAAAATTAAAATATAATATTAAAATAAGACCTATAGGGTAAAAGGGTCTAGATAACAAATTTTTGAAAGACATAAAAAAACACATTACTACAATGATGAAGTAGCTGACAGTTGTACTGATGTAGTCAGATAATTGTTCGTTTGAAATATGTTATTTGCTGTGATATAATCATTTTGGTTTTCACAATATAGTTTATATTTGTTCAAAGTCAAACTGGACCTTTGTGCCTCGCCCTGCTCTACATATATACTTTTTATTAAATTTACTTTAATTCATCGAATGTTATCTGAAACTTTTCAAAAAGCAGGCCAAAGAAGAAATACTTAATGTTTATAGGCTCAGTAGTATTATTTACAATTATACACAAAATCCAGAATCCAAAGAGAATCTGAAAAACTTGAAACGTAATCAATAAGTCGAAAGACCAAAAAAGACTTGGATTGGATTATAACATATTTTCTATGGAAAGTGTATAAAACTTCCAGTTTGATTGTATTGACGAAATGTAGACAAACTAATGGGGTTTATTGTTTTTATAATACCTCATTGTATAGAGAGCATTCAAAACAACACATCCTTATACACTAAAAGTATTAATATTTTTGATTTTCTAGAAATTGTTTAGAATATACCTTACATAGCAAAACAACGTTTGCCGGGTCAGCTAGTATAAAATAAATATATATCGTACCTCTGCTTGTAGCGTTGATCTCTTGAACAAAACATGAGGCCTGTCACCTAATTCGCTGGGTTCATGTACCCCACT